GACGTCTTCCGCCCTCGCAACCATGTCAACAGATCAAAATTTTCACATAACTAGCAGAATAGAACGACTTTTTAGGACTGACTCATGGAACTATGCCCCGAATCCGGACAAGCAGTGGTTGTTGCAGAGGACGGGCAAGATGGAACCAGTGCATGTGGCATTTACCGATTTACTACATCGCCGTCGTATGCAGACATTGCAAAGCGTTGACGACGGTGTTCATCAGGTACATCTTGAACTTACAAACCGCAACATTCCTTGCATCCAAGCAAATTCGTTGCTTTTCAGATTTTCTCTACTCTTCGGGATTACAACTATCTGTCGTCCACCTATGCCTTCTATACGTCTGACCACGGTTATCATTTGGGCCAGTTTGGCCTCATAAAAGGGAAAAACATGCCCTATGAATTCGATATTCGAGTACCATTTTTCCTACGTGGCCCAGGTGTTATGAAGAATTTCAGGTGAGTTCTTCTGCATTACTCGCCTATCTGTTTTTATGAAATGGGTTATTGTCGTAAGGTTACGGTAGCCTGCTGTCAAATGCCCCTTCATCATTACAGTATCCGCGAACCTGTCATGAATGTTGATATAGCGCCAACCCTTCTTTCCATAGCTGGCAGCAGTGTCCCTGATCACATGGATGGCAGAAATCTACTGGAGTTGATAGCTTTGAAGAAAGCGGCGTTGTCAGGGAGTGAGTGGTTTTGGTGTGTCTATAATTAAAAATTCTATAACTAAATATACTCGACAAAAGTCATGGGCATAGCTTGGATCTATAATGAGTTCTCAAGATCAATGTTGATCAGTTATGCAAAAAAATTTGGGAAATTTCGACAGAAAGCCCTGATCCAATCGTTTCAGAAGTCAACCGAACAAATCTCCCAGATCCATGGAGGGATACACTTCTGATCGAAAGAGGGTGAGCTAATTTTTGCTATCCCTCCTATTTACTCTTCCCTTGCACCATCCTACTAGCCTAGACTAACTAGCCTGACCTTAAATTTTTCGACACCGTTTTGACCAATCTGAAGGTGGAACATTAAGTGTCTTCAGGGAAGCGCGAGTGATAGGCTTTCCGCCCTTGTTCTTGGTACATGAGAGGGAGTCTAAAAGCTTTTTCTGTCAGCATGGGGTTGATGTCAGCTTTATAAACTGATCCAGGTGGACAGAGTTCGTTCGTATTTACAACTACGAAAATCATGTAAACGAAAGAGACAAACGTGATAACTGAACACACTGAGAAATTCTCTATTTTTCACCATTACTTCAGAAAACTCATAATAGGTTTGAGTAGTAAATAATTATGATGCGAACAGGTGAGCAGACAAAATCAGGGATTTGTGCTGCTGAGCATAGAACACAAGAATTACATTTGACCGATCCAATCCATAGACAAATCAAATCATTCTACAGCTGGCACGGTTTTCTATATACTTTCCCAATCGCACCCACTCCGAACTAGTCGAAAGTCTAAAAGTCATCCCTCCTGGCAAAAAGTCTTAATTTTTTTTTTGTTTTTAGTACAAGTTATTCCATGGTATCAAAGTTATTCCAGAAAAATGCCAAAACTGCGGAAAATTCGTGATCGATGGCTGAATCAAAAGGAGCGCTACGGTAAAGAGGTTCGTCTGAATGAGGCATGTAGCAGACCGGAATGGCAACGACCATGCAGTGGAACACAGGTGAGTGGGAATGAACGGTGTGAAATTGGTGATGATAGGGTAGACACTTTGAGGAATTCTGCACAAAGTGTGAAAAGTCATGTGCCCCTTTTGCAGTACAACAGACACACATTCAATCGGACAAATAATTTATTACATCAGATTTAATGAGCACGTCACTCAATTGTGAAACATGAATAGAAGAAAATCTTGGGAAATTAACAGATAAAACAGGTTCCGAGCAAAGAAGAGAACGCATCGTTACTCAGTTGGTCCACAAATACGACTGAGCTTGTAATTCTCTCCCACACCCCTCCTGTTTCCCGCCAGATCTCCCGCAGATCATCAGTGCAGGCACCACTCACCACTAGCATTGAGCGCTAGAGCGCGAGAAAGGAGGTGTAGCCGACTTCACCTATACCTAGAAGCGGTTCTTCAGATGGACTTAGTTTTTATTTAGTTTTTTATATACGCCTGAAGGGAAAGCACCGGGGTGTGCTAAATGATCACCTCATACAAAGAGCTAGATTGAGAAAGGGGGGTGAGGGTAAGAACTGAACATTCAATAAAATTACCCACAGTAGTGCTCCTTGTTAGAGGCAGGGGATGCGCCCGTCCCAACTATAATATCACCCTGATTCCTCTCTGCCCACCTCAGAGGCTGGATAGCGGAAATTCGTCAACTGGAAATGTTGGGAGCTCACCAGCGTTCCAAGAAGTGGAGAAATAATTCTCCTTTTCCTAGGCTAAGGAGGGGATGTTCTCTGGTTGTCATGCAAACGCCAGGGAAAATTTTTCATGCCTTTTGTGGAGGAGTTGGGGTAGAACGGACGAGATTTTCACGACAAGGCCTTTTGTTGAATTGTCCCTTTCACTGCCCTTTTCCGCTTTTTCTGTACATTGACGATTCCACGACAGCTTCATCAATTCTGCAGCATAGAAGAATTCCTAGCGGACATTTTCCAGCAATGGTCCTGTTACCGTTCCAGTGACGATCGATGGAGGATACTGAAATGCCGTGACAGAAAAAATCGACACTGTGGATGTGAAAAACGACAGAAACGGTCCGCTAAATGGAATGGTAGGATTTCATTCAATATGCACTACTATTATAAAACTTTTTTCTAATTTGCCGTTTTTTTTTTGATTTTTTAGTGTGTTGAATATCAGCCAAACTTTTATTAAGATGCTAAAAGTCATGACGAAGATCTCGTGGACGAGTTTATTCAACATGTTCATGAATACGAAATACTCCGAAATAAGGAATGGTATCAGGGCACATTTGACGCACTGGTAATGCTTTAGTACTACCTAAAAAACTTGAATATTCGGAAAGTCATTCTTACTTTAGCCGGCTCGTCGACGTCGTAGCCTTTGTTCCTGTAGAAACCCCAGTCTGCACCCATTGTAAGTGGTTCTTCTCACTTTTTGAACTTTTAGAAAAGTTTTGGACTTCACTCTCAAGTTATTCTTTTAAGGTTAAAAACTTCACAAGGACTTTCACAAGTAATGCACGAACCGGATAAGATGAATCCTATACGGGATCGTACTAGACCACCTCTTAGAAACGTACTGGCTCTGAAGCGTATTTAACTTACAAACAGGGAAAAGAGCTGGGAAGAAAATGCCATCTCAGAGTCATAGAAAAAACCATGGCATATTTACCATTTACTGCCCCACTTTGTTGAGAATGGGCTAGATTTCCATCGAATTTTTTTCAAAGAGACGAAACCGACTAGAAACTTGCCTAGAAGGGTAATTTGACCCGTAGATAACGAATATCGCAGCAGGATTCTAGTCTAGTTTCTTGAGAAATATTCGATAGAAAACCAGCCCTTTCTCGATAAAGCGGGGCAATAAAGGGTAAATAGTGCCAAAACCATTTTATTTCTTTACTTATTCTACTCACACTTCAGAGGTTTTGTTCTGTGAAATGAGTATAAAAATTCTTTTTACAGAAAACTTGAAGAGTTCAGTTTTCGCGCTCCCATGGACGCTATAGAAGGGCCAAAGAAACGAAAGGATCGCGGGTTGGAACACTAACACTTGTTTACTCCAAGCCGCTGATCAATTTGTGAATTATTTCTTTTAGTAACTCAAGCCATCCGGTCCGTTTGTCATGTTCCGTACAACAAATGAACTGTTTCTTGCATAGTATTGATCACTGGAAGACTCCACCACTATGGCCAGACGAGTATGGTCAATTCTGTTTTTGTCAAAATTCTAACAAGTAAGTGGTTCATAATATTTCCCTTTTTTTCTTTTTTCTTTTGCACTTTCATAGCCGCAAAAGGTAAAGCAGACAGAGTCAAAGATAGTAAGGGTATGGTGCTTACAAATAGTCCCCTTCCTCGCGCCCTCATGCCAAACCTGTTGAGGGAGACGTGTACGGGATTTGGGTGCTCCATCTATCCACCCTTACCTCTTACTTCACAGTATACCAGGCTGAATCCGTCATCCTAGAGCCTATTCTTTATTCTGGTGAATTTTGGCTGATTGTGGGTAAGCACCTCCTTTTTCAGCAACACTTATTGGTGTCTAAGAACTATCAACGAAGCTGAAAACTTCCTATACTGCGAGTTTGTTACCGAATTCGTCAGCTACTATGATTTGAATGAAGATCCATACCAGGTACATTTCATTTTTTGAGCTTGTTCCAATGACTAGTCAACAAAGTTTAGAAGAACTCCCTGGTATGCTTAGGCAGCCGCCACTAGGGCGGTTACAGAGCTTGTGCAGTAAATGATGGCAGTAAATAAAGATACAGGCAATCTACCTTGATCACTTAAATTCGCATTTGATTGGTCCAAAAAACATTTCACGAAGTATTTAGCTTACTTCTCCTTGTGAAACTTTTGGTCGATTTTCAGTTACACAATATCGTCTATTCGTTGGAAATGAGCACATTGGAGCGACTGAGTGAACGTCTTCGTTTACTTCGGGACTGCAAAGGCGCTTCTTGTGAACGCTATTCAGCCATCAATTGGGAGCAGCACATCGAGCCACCACTTTCAGCTCCACATCCCTAGCATGGCCCAGATCTTCCCTAATTTTAATAGAACTATTGCAATTTCGTAGTTTCGGTCAGTAGCCGTATACATACTTTGTTCTATCCTGGATAATCTCCTCAAGGAGTCTAAAACTTGAAGTCTGAAACGTATTTCACATTGTTTTATCACCTTTTAGCTTTCAAATTACTTAAGATAGTCGGAATTCGGGTGATATCTCGATTTGGCTGACACTTTAGGAGGATTCCCCCTTCAAAGGGAGAGATTAGGTCGGTTCAGAAGCGTAAAGTAAATAAAAATGTGGGTAGAAATAATATCAGCGGGTGGGACTACCCCCCCCCCCCCCCCCCCGCGAAGGGAGTACAGGCTCTGACAACCTGTAGTAGTGCGATTGAAGGGTACCTGACACAGGAGCGTGGGATTTCGTGCCCAGCTCCTGAGAACAAAGCAGTATTGGGACGAGTAATGAGCTGATCTCATACCAAGACTTGGTTTGGAAGATAGACAAGGGTTCAAAAATGTGTGACATTTCCCCAACCCTCTCCCCTCGCCGCCCCAACCCATCTCAAGTTGAATTTTCTCAAAGTTGGTCATTTGGAACTCATATTTCAAGTCTTATGGGCTATCCTATGATACCTAGGTTTGCTCTGTGTGCATCTTATACTAGGGTGATTTTCATAATATATTCTTGTCATACTGGCAAGGTGCTATTGATTTGATCTGCATGTATTGGTACGGGATCAACGCTTTCGATACTTTTCATTGATTGATTTGCCGATTTGCCAATTTTCTAGAAGTTTCTCGAATTTTCCTTCGTATTTTCTTAGAATTAACCTATTATTCGCTGTGTGAAGCCTACTCTTTGAATTAATTACGGTAATCCTTGCTATGGTCATATTCCTCTACTACATTACTTTTACTATTACTATTACATTAGTATTAATACACTGTGACAACTAGAAAATAAATTTGAAAAAAAAACAAGTCCTTGAACACACATACATACACACATACATACAATACACGCAATACACATACACACATACACATACACACATACACACACATACACACATACACACATACATACACGCATACACGCATACACACATACATACACACAATACACATACACATACATACACACGCATACACACTGAAACTCGTATTTCATACATAAATTCAGACAAAACGAAAATTATCAGTTTTAACCATTGAAAGTAATTATTCCTGAAAAAAATTTGAAAATGAAAATATTTGGTGCTCGAATAAATTTGTGTTAATATATGTAATAATTAATGTCAGTGTAATATTAATAATAATTTGTATTTGTATTAATAATAGAGCTGGCACCGAACAACCGACACTGAAGAGATGGAAGGCTCGGTTTGTCTACTTAGGCACAGATCTGGGATTCGATCCCCGAATTGCATGCGTGCCACTTGCCAATACAGCACATCCACCCTTCGAGTGATCACAATGGAATCAAACTAGGGGACTCCTAGAACCGGGTTTCAGTGGGCCGTATTGGGGTTCCAATTGGCAGTATTGGATCGGATTGGTTAAACTCGTTAGTCTCCATCTTGATCATTTGAAGCCCGTGAGTCCCCATTAGAGCTTTTCTATGTCAACTGTTTCCAGTTTATACCGAGTAGCATGATGGTGGAGTATATGCAACGAATACCGCCTGGGGTTGCTGGGGTTGGGCCACACCTTTTAAATAACTTCAACCAGCGAGGATCAACGAGAATGCCCCAAAATGAGAAATATATCAAAGGCTTGAAACAGGAAATTCCTACAATTTACAAAATTCACCAAACACTACAACAATTTTCTACCTTTGCTTGCCTCTCCCAGGATTTATCTTTGCCTACCTTAAACGACCCACAATGTCCTCTCTCCCTGTCTGAGCATTCCCCGCCTGACAGCGTGTTGACTAGGACAACTCATCGCCGACGCCTTTCTGAAGCGTTTATTCCACAAGCGGTCCTTCTTTAGTCTCGGAAACGGTGTGTACAGGGTTTATTCAGAATCCTTACCAACACTGCTTCATTGAAAGCTCCTCCAGGTTCGGGAGAGTTCATTCGTATTACGTACAATGGGAATGCAGATGACCAACTTTGTTCTTCTCTGTTCTCACTCCCATTTATAGTCGTGTGAGTTTTTCGCGGTCTCTCTCGAGAGGTCCTAGCCAACACGGTCTCATCATGGAAGCTTATCCAGGTTCAGAGAAATCCAATCGTCTCGCTTCATCTACATATATCCATGGTAATGCTTTTCGCGTTGCCACAACTCCCACTATGAACACTCCTCTATATCCATGATAATGCACTTCGCGTTGCCACAACTCCCACTATGAACACCCCTCATGCTGACGACTGCCAGGGTTCGAACGAGTCCGTACCTGAATAGCTTTCTTTCCAGTTTCCACATCTCTTTTGGATAAACCCATCTCAATACACCAAACCTTTCTTAAGGGGTCTACCAATGGCTGCTTTCATAGTCCGCCGGTCGGCCGGCGTGCCGGCGTGCCGGCAGAGGCAGTGCTAGGGGGGAGGAGGGAAGCAGACAGTGTAAGG